AATTGGGAGAATATTGATAACGCCGTGTTGGTGAAACGCGTTTATGTACTTTTAATTGTGTATTTTATATATATTAAAGTATATTTGGTTACTTTTTATCTGTGCCATTTATCTTTTATACACTCTAATCTATTTACTACCTGGCATCTTTTCACCATCCTGGACTCCAAGAAATCCTAGGTGGGGATTATACCACCAGCGCTAACGTCAAGGAGCAGTTGTCCTGCTCCTGTCTGAGAGTATCCATTCTATTTTATTACCAATATTTTACTCAGTGTACACTATTGGCTGTCTCTCTTTACCCAAATGTTGGATATACCACAGACGGAGGAAGTCCACCCTATATTTAAACCGCTGTACGCCTTTTACACTAGAGCGAGTAATAGTGTTATGGACAGATGAATTAAAATAAAATGGCTATTTACTAATGTCTATTTATTCTGTGTTCACTATGTTAAAACTGGCTGCTAGAGTAAATATTCCCTTCGCCCCCTACAATGTGTTCAGTTGCTGTTTACTATGTAAATTCTTCATCCTGATAAGCATCCCCCTTCAAATCAAGCAAACCTTATGTAAACAAAATTCCTGTGTTAACAGCTCCCTTTACTAACTCCTCCCCCACTACCTTTGTGCCAGTTAAACAGCTATATGCCACGTATAGCTAAATGGAGGATCATTGGTTTAGAACTGATAGATACCACTCACTCCCCCTCCCATCGTGTATCCAAAAGTCTGTAATGATGACACTACATTCTGTAGGGAGGTTTAAACAAGAGCCCCCTTTCTCTGTTAACCAATTGGTGAATGTATACTGTATGTTTAAACTGTGACGTATTTTTGTTTTAAGAAGGAGCCCCCACTCCGGGGAATAAAGCATTCCTGAGTTTTTCACTGATCAGAAACTTTGTCTCCGGTGTGAATTACTTCTAGGGAAAGCGTGCACGCATTAATCAATCAATTTGGAAGGTGTAGATAGACAAATTATCAAAGTTTTCTTTGATCCAAAACAATTTTGGCTTCCGAACAGGGATGAAAGGGATACGTTACTAAGTAAGCCGTCAGATCCCAAGACAGGAGAACAAAGGATTCCCAGAGATTGGAAACGGAGCCTGATCACCTCTGCATATGGTAAATGAGTTACTTACCTATATTTTCCTTTCTTTGGATTTCTCTTATTCTCCGTGCCTTCACATTCGGCTTCCGGTGGTTAACGTCTTCAGACAGGTAATATATATATATGCCCGAATGTCCCCTTTTATATAGAACCTGTCACTTGTCTATCTACAGCCTGAGTCCTGAGTGTGAGTTTTATGTGTGAAAGTGTCTGTTTGAGAATCTATTTTACTTTCTTTTGATTATTGAGGTCGAGTTCATAGAACACCTGGCGATTGAATTCAGGGTGCAAATATACCTGGAGTTTTTAGGAGAGATTATATTAATATTTTAATATTTTAATATTAATTCTTGGCGTTTCTTTTGTTGTTTTTCTTTTGAGTTCAGGTGTGCATAATAGCCCCTGGCGGTTTCGTTTTTTTGTCCGATTTATATTCAAATTAGATTGTGGCGGTTCTTTTGTTGTTTTTAAGTTCAGTTTGGAAAAAAAAGCTGGCGTAATTAATTTTAGTTTAATAAAATAATAATATTTGAATTTTTAATTTTTTTATTTTATTTTTATTTTATTTTTTTCCTAGATCAGGATAGTACATTTCCTGGCGGATTATTTTAGATCAGGATAGACGAGATCCTGGCGTATTTGTTTGTTGAAATAAAAAAACAAAAACAAAAAAAAAACAAAGAGTTAAGTTGTTGTATATGTGCTTGAGTGTTTCTGTGTGTGTGATTTGAGTTATTATAAGCCGGCATTTATTTTAAGAACTTTGTGATTTAATTACATCTGTATTTTGTGCTTTTGTCTGTGTATGTCTTGTTGGGTACCATATATGTTAATTGTAATCTATACAATTTGTATCGTTACTCTCCTATTCTATCTTTTGTCCTAAGGAGAGCTGTGCTTAGGCAATCACATGGTTAAAAAACTTTGTGCTTGCAAGTCTTCCTCCCTCCTCCCCCTCCTTCTTTGTTGCTTTCTCTTGCTCTGACTGCTATGAGTATTGGCTACAGGGGGGTGGGGTGAATGGGTGAAATGCTTGTAAACTCAGTGAGGAATGTGAGGGAAACAAGGTATATTTGCTGGACGAATAACCTAGTTAGGAACTTTGTGTAATCTTGTATATGTTGTTAAGTAAGAGGTTATTGGCATGTTGGAATAAGGAAAGTTAGATTTTGTTGGAACAAATGAATTGTGGAATTCATAAATGATATTGCAGAGAAAAGTAAATTGCAGTTTGCATATAATAGCAGCTATTCAGATGCTGTATTGTGGCAATCTTTATACACACAATGTGAAATTGCCAATAGTGAAATTGACAAGAAATTGTATGTTAATAAGAAAAAAAAAATAAGATCAGAAATGTTATGAAACTAGTCTGTACTTACAGTGCATTGATTTGTAAACGTAATGCAGGTCAAGACAATTTAGAATCATCAGAAAAAGAAGTAGATTTGAATGGGTTAACAGAAGACAAATCAGATTTAAATGAACAGTGTAACAATGTAACAGAGAGCACATGCTGTAAACAGTCAGAAACAGTCTGTGAATTAGAGGATAGAGTTGAACTAAGAAATGATCTTATTTGCCAGCTTAGAAATGAAGTTAAGCAAGTATGTGTTAATACAAGAAAAATACAGACACAGAATCTAATCCCAGAACCAATAGATACTGAAAATGTATCCTCACAGAGTGATTTGCAGAAATATAAATTTCAAGACAGAGCTGCAAAACTTGAAAATACATGAACAATTAATGAAAATTGTGAAATGTATTCCAGTTTATGACACGTCAGTGGATGCATTTACTAATGCTGGAATGTTTGAGTCAAATGTGGACAAATACAGCCTAAATGACGAACAAAGGAATAGATTGTTTAAAATATGGCTGCCGACTCAAATGGCATGTAGGCTGACCGCGCTTGTAAAATTTGAGGACAATGATAAAATAATATATGGAAATTAGGAGACAGACAAGCAATGCAGCGTAACACAGAAAGTTATAAGAATCAGATAACTTCAAGAGATATGATCAGTTTAGGGAATGAGCATGGATATGTCTGCCAACAGATGTACACAGGCTGATTCCAGAATTAAAAACAGCACAAGAATAGATATCTATGTCAGTTTATTGTTTTAAATGAATTGTTAGTCTGTACTGTCTTTCATTGTTTTTATATGTGTTATAAGAAAGTATTAGGTTAATTAAAATAAAAATTTAAATCAAGTTTGCACATATGGCAGAATGAAATACACTAATGTAGCAGTGAGGAACATTCAATGTTATATTGGGTGTATGCAATTATATAGTAACTCCAATCATTTTACAGAAGAAAAAACAATAGATTTATTCTTTGTTGCTTCTGAGGTTGATTTAAAATCTTTGATTTAATTCATGAGAATGGGATTTTAATATCATGACTGATAATGGATTACTGTATATTGCAACGCCTGGACATACACATGGTTTGGATATACTGAAGACAAAAGGAATAATATGGGAATGGATAAGGCTGATTTCCCCCTATCCACAGCTACGCCTACTCCTAAAGTAACATCGCGTACATCCTTTTACTGTAGAATTTCCCGAATCCTAATGACCAATTCCACTACATGGTGTGACTTGTTTAAGCCTAAGATAAATTGGCTGATCAGGCTACCTGTATTAACAATGTCATCAACGATGAGTTAGCATCTGTGGAGAAGTATCACTTCAGGTTGTCCCAAATTTTCTTTTAACTTAAGTTTTAGTACATAGTAAGGCCCATGCCCAACAACTATATGCAGCCTTGTATAGCAGGCCACATGACATCTATTTGTACCAAGCAAGGCCTGCCTGACTCCTCATTCCTGTCTAACATTGTTGTCTCCTGCATAAGTGTAGATGGCTCTCTTTGGAGTAGCCTGTTAACTAAGCCTTGCTTTGTGGTTACTTTCACCTGTCCAATTAATCTGCTAGGTGCAGATGTCCTTCCCCCACTTGAAGGCCCCTATCACCTTATTATTTATTTTGTTCCACACAGTGAAACCTGACCAAGAGGCAAGGGTCCTAGCTAGTTCCCCCAATACCTTTACCTGAATTATACAGGCCCCAAAGCCTGTCCAAGCTCTTACTATTCCCTAACAGGTTAAGGCTCTGGTGTCGAATGGTGCCCTGGTTACCTGAGACTTTCCATGCAATATCCCACCTCTCCTTGTGATGGACGAATTCTGTGCAGGATAATGTCACCTTGCAGGGATGATACTCTATTTACCTGGCCACTCTTCTGCAACTTCCCAAGGGGGGAAATGATAAGACACTGACTATTATTTTTTTTAGCCTTTTTCTTATGTTCTGTTCCGGATTTGCTGTCACTACAGTGGACCAAGTATCTCACCTCAACAATGTCTGCACAAGAAGCTGAGCTATAGGCTCCCATCACAGCATGCAAGATCTCTGAAGGAAGACTGAACTCAGAGAAAGCATGTGGCAACTCTTTGGCTGACTAAGTTGTTCAAGAAGTTGTAAGTGTACTAAGGGAAGTGGACAGAAAAGTGTCTGCTGAAGAAACTCCCATATTCACCATGTAAGATCCTACCCACAGACATCAAGCTCCCGAAGGAATAACAAGCAAGCTACTGACCCTGGAAAGAAAGAAAAAACAAACAAACCACAAGCTGGAAACAGAAAGGGGCAACTCTTAAAGACAGGCTGTACTTCAACAATCTCAAGTTCTACTTGCCCAAGAACATATACTCAGCAGTGGTCCAGTGGGCCTACGGAGCATCTGTCCAGAACCCTCATGAACTCTTTTGATCAATAAATACTCTGAAGTACCAGGAATTGCCTCTCTGACCAACAGTTACTGTAAATCTTGTGCCATTTGTGCCAAGGGCAACTCAAGAAGAATGGAGGAAAGCCCCAAGCATCTAGCCAAACCTCATTATCTCTTCCAGAGGAGTCAAGTCACCAGAATGCCAAAGAATGGCTGATTCAAATATGCACTAATTATAGCAGACATGTTTTCAGGATGGCCAGAGGCCTATCCAGCCACCAAAGTGATAACCAAGACCACATGCTGAGTAGTGCACTGTGAAAGTTACAGAGATCACCCCGTGGATTCATCATTCCAGAATCAAGCCTGCCTCTGCATCATGTGAAGTAACATCTGTTGATCTTGACAACCCTTTTTGAAACTCCATTCTTAGAGAACAAAGATACTTGTTGAAAATAAATAAATAACTATCAACAAGTGGGTGTTTTGATGGCCATAATAATGCCTGACCACCTGCCATCGATGGAAAGCCAAATACCCCAAAAGGGGACCTTGTGAAACTAAAGAGAAATAAACATACTCCTTACCCTGCAGCCCTCATGTCTGAGGTGCCATACGCACAGTCAAAGCTTTTTCAGGATCATCTGCTTATCTTGAGTTTGTGGTGATATTAATATTGAATGTTTAAATGATCTGAATCTGTCAGTACTAGGGTAGCATGAGACAAGATTTCTAAGAATAAGTAAATGTGCCCTAGCCTAGGTTATTATGTCCATACACATAACACATGACAATCCCCAAGGTACTCTTGACACACCTCATTCATGCTTCAGGACAAAAAGGAGTACCCCTATAAAGGGTGGTTTTACCCACACATATATATATATATATGTATATTAATGCCATAGGGGTGTCAAGGGGGGTGCCGAATGAGTTTAAAGCAAGAGATGAAGTGTCCGCAGGGTTCGAATCTATTTTCCCAATCATCACGGCCAATAAAAATTTAAATTGGATCAATTACATCTATTATAACCAACAACGTTTTGTAAATTATACAAGAGATGCCCTCCAAGGTTTGGCGTAACAATTACAAGCTACTTCCCAGATGACCTTCCAGAATAGAATGGCCTTAGACATGATCCTGGCGGAGAAAGGGGGAGTATGTAAAATACTCCCAGACACCATGACATGCTGTACCTATATTCCAGATAATACAGGCCCTAATGGTAAGGTAACGTTGGCAATAGAAAAGTTAAAGAGTTTGTCCAATGAACTGAAACGAAATTCGGGGGCCACAGATCCATGGGAAAGATGGTTTGGATGGATGTCTGGATGGCAAGGTGCTCTGGCCCAAATAGGTGTTGCCATTTTAATAACGATAATCATCCTCGCTCTTCTTGTTTGTTGTGTGTTACCCTGTCTTAAGAAATGCCTACAAAAGACAGTTGATCAGACAATCGACCAGACCACCCCGACCTTCCTTCACCAAGAGATTGACGATATCGACATACACCCTTACAGTCCCACCGCACTAAATCAACAGCTACTTCCTCTTAAGGACATTTAGGGATAGCGTCTGTCTCTACGGGCAGAAGTCTGCCGCGGGAGAAGTAGTGGACAAGCTGCTATGGAATACCCGCGCAGTGAAGTGTTCGAGGCCTGTTCAGACAGATGTGCAAGATAGCCTTTTGTTATTTTTCTATAGGGACAGTATTAGAATGAGAGATAGTAGTTTTAGTAAAAATTGCCATTTTAAGGGGGGACTGTTATGGACAGATGAATTAAAATAAAATGGCTATTTACTAATGTCTATTTATTCTGTGTTCACTATGTTAAAACTGGCTGCTAGAGTAAATATTCCCTTCGCCCCCTACAATGTGTTCAGTTGCTGTTTACTATGTAAATTCTTCATCCTGATAAGCATCCCCCTTCAAATCAAGCAAACCTTGTGTAAACAAAATTCCTGTGTTAACAGCTCCCTTTACTAACTCCTCCCCCACTACCTTTGTGCCAGTTAAACAGCTATATGCCACGTATAGCTAAATGGAGGATTATTGGTTTAGAACTGATAGATACCACTCACTCCCCCTCCCATCGTGTATCCAAAAGTCTGTAATGATGACACTACATTCTGTAGGGAGGTTTAAACAAGAGCCCCCTTTCTCTGTTAACCAATTGGTGAATGTATACTGTATGTTTAAACTGTGACGTATTTTTGTTTTAAGAAGGAGCCCCCACTCCGGGGAATAAAGCATTCCTGAGTTTTTCACTGATCAGAAACTTTGTCTCCGGTGTGAATTACTTCTAGGGAAAGCGTGCACGCATTAATCAATCAATTTGGAAGGTGTAGATAGACAAATTATCAAAGTTTTCTTTGATCCAAAACAAGAGAGAGAGAGACCTGAGACAGACACATGTCAGAGAGAAAGTGACCTGAGACAGACACACATGTCAGAGAGAGAGAGAGACCTGAGACAGACAGACACATGTCAGAGAGAGAGAGTGACCTGAGACAGACAGACACATGTCAAAGAGAGAGAGACCTGAGACAGACAGACACATGTCAGAGAGAGTGAGTGACCTGAGACAGACAGACACATGTCAGAGAGAGAGAGAGAGTGACCTGAGACAGACAGACACATGTCAGAGAGAGAGAGTGACCTGAGACAGACAGACACATGTCAGAGAGAGAGTGACCCTGAGACAGAGACAGACATGTCAGAGAGAGTGACCTGAGACAGACAGACACATGTCAGAGAGAGAGAGAGACATGAGACAGACAGGACACATGCCAGAGAGAGAGAGACCTGAGACAGGCAGACACATGTCAGGAGAGAGAGACCCTGAGACAGACAGACACATGTCAGAGAGAGAGGACCTGAGACAGACAGACACATGTCAGAGAGAGAGAGACATGAGACAGACAGACACATGTCAGAGAGAGAGAGAGACCTGAGACAGGCAGACACATGTCAGAGAGAGAGACCCTGAGACAGACAGACACATGCCTAGAGAGAGGACTCCGAGACAGACAGACACATGTCAGAGAGAGAGAGACCTGAGACAGACAGACACATGTCAGAGAGAGAGAGAGTGACCTGAGACAGACAGACACATGTCAGACAGAGAAAGTGACCTGAGACAGACAGACACATGTCAGAGAGAGAGAGTGACTTGAAACAGACAGACACATGTCAGAGAGACAGAGAGAGAGAGAGAGTGACCTGAGCCAGACAGACACATGTCAAAGAGAGAAAGACAGTGATCAGAAAGAGAGAGTGACCTGAGACAGACACATATCAGAGAGAGAGTGACCTGAGACAGACAGACACATGTCAGAGAGAGAGAGTGACCTGAGACAGACAAACACATGTCAGAAAGAGAGAGAGTGACCTGAGACAGACAGACATATGTCAGAGAGAGAGTGATCTGAGACAGAGACACATGTCAGAGAGAGAGAGAGAGAGTGACCTGAGACAGACAGACACATGTCAGAGAGAG